TATGTGTATGTGTGTATATAGAGATATAAAAAGACATGCTAAGATATGCTAATTTATATGCAGTGCTCTACTAATTTATATATTCATACTTTATATTGCTGTGCATTTTTTTATGTTGTGCTATGTTACGTTGTGTTACGCCCCATGCTGCCGTAACACGGGGAGCTCGTCATTAAACCGACACGCGCGTTCCTATAGCTTCTCCCAATGAATACTGCAAGCCACACGTGGGTCCCCGGAGAGGTTGTCTTTGCGCTGCCCTGGTTTTTTTCTTTTTTTCTTCCCTTTTTGCCTGCGTATCTCCACGTTGTGCAAAGCTAGCGCCTAGGTGAGTCTCCCCAGGGGTGGGCAAGTGCTGTGCTGGCTGCCCCCCTGGCCGTGGTCCGTCCGAGCCTGCCGTGGCTGTGTGCACCCCTGGGCGGCCAAGGAATAAGCTGCGCTGTAAACTTGACTGCCACTGCGCCCTGGCGTCATCAATAGCAAATTAATAGTTAGCAACACACACATATGGATATATTTAAATAGTTAAATCAATGCATTCTGAGTTTTACATTTCATTAAAACAGTCTTACCAATTCAGGCCTCCGTGGGCCTCCCTTTCGTCCATATACCTTATTTCAAGGAAGACTGAAAGGCTGCTTCGATTCCCTGCAGTCTCAGCTTGATGCTATTGCCTCGTATTACACGAAGCTCTTATTTCAAGGTTGTTCTTGCAATTGCAAGGACTAGAAATGATATATATTTCAATTTTGTGAGGAGAGGCTCAGGAGTAACAGTCCAACCGCCAAGAATGGATCACTCAACAAAATTGCAGAATCCGTGGGGCTTCTGATAACAGGTTCCTGTCAACCATGTACTTTTAATGCTTGCTGGATAAATTTCATTTAATAACAGTTACTTCCTATAAAAAGACACCCTCTGCAGGGAAGAAGACATTTGCAGGGAGTAGATTCTGCAATTTGTTGTAGCAAAATTGAGAGGATTCGGGTCCCTGTGCTAAATTCAAGGTAATGCGTTTTTCTTGTAAGCCTCCTGGCCATGTCCAAGAGAAATGTAAACAGCGATGAATTTTAAATATGGGCGGTGAGAAGTAAAATAGTGTAACTTGCCCGAGTGGTAATGCTGGGGATGCACACGCTCGTCACAGACGCACATCGAGGCAGCGAGCAGCTTATGCTCAGGGTACGCAGGGATGAAAGGTGAGAAGATACGTACATGAAGGCAGGCAGACTGGCAGGCCCCCGCGCAGAGGGCTTTCCTCTCTTTCCCCTTGAGATTTGAAATACTCGAATGGGACAGGAGGAGGCCTTATTCCTGGCTTCCTGTAAGCCTAAGCCACTGAAACAATATATCTATATCTCTATATCACTAGCAGGGCAGCTTCATGCCTCTCCGGGTGCATCCTGGTCTGTGCAACATGGAGGGAAAAGCAACAACAAGTGGGTGAGAGAAAATAACTCTCATCCTTTACATTTACAATTACATGTGTAGCGCTTCATCTGAAATGGTGCTTTAGTTTTCCCAACACAAGCATAGACAAATTTAGATTCATCATAAAACATGTACAAGTGACAAATGTGGTTCTGATCCCTTCTGAGCAGCAGTTTTTCTATTTTTAGTTTTTCTCTTTTATACGAATAAATA